TAGTTTCACAGGATCCGCTACAAACATCTGTTTCATCTTCAAACTCCTTAGGGTATTGTTGAAACAATGGAAGATGATTCGGTCGTAGTGTTTGGGTCTTGTTGTCCACGCTGTGTACTCCCTGGACTGAAGTTCCCAGTTCTCGAAACCAATTTCTTCCCAACAAATCCCAACCACCACTATCCGAAACCACAGACTTTAAATGTTTGGTGATTTGTTGATACTGTACCTTGACAACTGTTTCTCCTTGAATAGCAATTTTTGTTGTGTTCAGGACGGCAAGCACAGCGGTGATTTCTGAAAAAATTCATTCCCCTGACGAATATGCTCCCACGTTTGCTTCTTTATAATCGTTTAAACTGCACCCCAGTCCACTTCCATTTTCACCCCGATTTCGTTTAATCTTACATTTGTCACGATTTTCTCCTGTTCCCCCATTGCACGTATTACATCTATTATATATGATGTCGTAGATCTGAGATGATCTACGTAGATCAGAGTCATGATCTGGGCTGTCCGGGTGACGCCGCGTCGATGGCACATCAGCCATCGACGCGGCGTCACCCGGACAGCCCAGATCATCCATTATATATGTTGTATATGCATCCTAAATATATTCATCTTTTGTTGTTGGTGATTTGGCGCACAACAGTTGGTAGCACGCGACGCACTGGCGCTCTCTGCCATTCTCTTGCTGTAACGAGCGGGTGAGCTTAGAATGACAACAGTTTTTCGAGCATGCCTCAGTCGTTGCAGTCGCTCTGACCAACACCACCTATATCTAGGTGGTATTGCTCTGACTCAGAGCCTCGGAGTCGCTCGCCGCGCGCGCCGCCAACCGTAGCGGAAGGATCCTCTACGTGTTTCCGAGTGACCGTTAATAAGTGGTCGCGCGTTCTCACCTATTACGTATTGTGAATACAATAAACGTTTTATACTTTAACTTTTCCGAATGAATTATTTATCATCCTCCAGAACATAACAATATACAAATCGCATCAATCTTCTATTACATAGCAATTTGCCCTTTTTGTAATATTTTGAACTCTTTGTCCTTATATGTCATTCTTCTTCAAACATACTTTGGCGATATGCCCTTTCTTCCAATAGTAATGACATACTGCTTCTTTAAATTTACAATTTTTTCAATGTACTTCCCCACAATGGTAACAAGGATTGAATGTTTTACTATCATTACCTTCTTGATTATTATTATTTTTTGAAATTTTAGAAATAGAATTTTCTGATCCCGTGCCGCTTCCGGTGCAATAGCAAGCTCTTAGGTTCGTTCAACAGTAAGGTTAGGTTCCGAAAATAATTTTGTTTTGTAACCCTTCGACAGCAACTTCACATACAATTCCACACAACTCTCTCAACGTTTTATGCAGTTCCGTAAAATTGCAATTCTTCCTCAGTTTGCGCAGATCAGCAATCCGCTTTCGATTCATCTTCTTTCCGCACTCTTTTGTTAAAATTGAATCTTTCCACTATTTCATTCAATGTTGAGTTGAAATGTCCTTGTAGTTTGTTAACAATCTATGTATATAAGAAGTCTTTGGTGTTTGCGGCGTCACCAGTGAACGCAAGTTTCGTATGCTTCGAATGTTTCGTATCTTCTTCTAATTGTGTCTTTTGTTTTCTACCTGTCGACTTTTCGATCTTAGACAGCTTTTTGTTTTCGTCAGTCACATTATTTGCTTCGAAAAGAACTCAAGCCTCTCTTGGTAATTGGACAACGGCGCATTAATGTCGAAAGGCCCCCAGTTTATTGTTTGTACAAAATTATGTATTTGCACTTGATTTGCAGCTTCTTCATTCCCCTTGCCGTATTTCTTGAGGTTCTATTACTTGGTTGCTCACTTTTCTTTTAGCACTTCCACAATACCACACTTGCAGAATCGTTTCTAATATCCTCGACGCCAGATTTTTAGGTATTTAACTAAATACACAAAGTTTAAGATCTGAAATGTACGTGTTTATTCAGTTTATTTACAAAACATTGAACTACATGTACTCGCACGGTAACAGTTACTGGCCGCCATCTCAATCTAAACATTGTTCCAAAACTTTACCAAAGGCTGACCACATGTACAGAATATGTATAACTACACGAAAGTCAGTTCAATACACAGCAAATAATATTTGTTCTATTATACAAAAGCACTTCTATATAGCTACATAGACGCAATGCTTCTCCAAACCCTTTGGGGGGCGTTGAACGCTTTGCGCATTGAGGAATCCTCCATTAATATTGTCTCGTCGTAGTCAGTTGTCAGAAGGACCGCCAAGAAGTATCTCTGCGTACGCGCCTCCTATTATTCGCGCACTTTTTTTTTTTTCAAAAGGAATTTTGCATCAAATTTGCTGTTCATTTTTCGAAGCCAAATTGTTTCTATTACACGAAACCGAACATTTCTGGTTACCAGATTATGCCTACAATAATAATAATACGTGCTCCTGGGTCACTTCCAAGAATTAGGAAGGTATGAGGATTGGGGTAAGTTTTAAGACACTTCACAGGTTTTGGACTAGCACTTGTGAAGCAGCTAAACTGATTTTGTTGGAAAAAATTTCACACGATATTGTCAGGGACTCGACGGTAATCGAACCCTGGCCTCGTGGGTGAAAGGCGAGCGTCTTTCTGAGCCACCAGAGCAGAGAGTATGAACCACCAGCGTTCGTTGACATCTGTTATTGTTACCCGGTTTTTAAGTATTCCCAGACACACAGGTTCGCATTAGGGCTGCTGAATAGGGAGAACAGAATATTGTAGAGAACTAACTGATCGCTACAGATTCTGTATTAGATGTAGAACTGATTCATTTATCTCCGTTTGTTGCACTCTGGACGACCATAGCACTACCACAGAAGGCTAAACATAAGTATTACTCGTTTGCAATAACAATATGGCTATAAGCCGGAATAAATGTAAGGCTGGAAGTCAGTCTCTGCTGCAGTCAATACGTAACGCCGGAGGCAACGATTTTCTATACTAATGCGTTGTCTGCACTACTGGCGCAAATCCTAGAATGCTCCCATGCCGAAACTTATTTTTCATCTGTCAACTTCATATTATTCACGTTATTCTACAGTAAAATGATTAGTGATTAAGTTTGAATACGTTGGCTGTAACTGTAATAGATGAAAAACGTCCTTTTTCACTTTCCAGTACACATACGCATTATGCGGAAAATGGATTTCCAGATTTCAACCGAAATACATGTCTTGGGGTCCCCTTGACCAAAAAAGTTGTTCTTTACAAAACGTCCGTCAGTCCGTCTGTGAACACCACTAGCACCTAAACCATGCGTAGGTGTTGTTTTTTTTTTCTTTCAAATTGAAGAAACATCTGTCCATCTGACTCAAGTCGAAACTTTGAGATTTTGAAATTTGGGGGTACTTTACATAAAGCCCTTCAGATTTTCAAATTTTTCTCAAAAACGGCTCCAATTTATTTCTTTAAATTTCTTGTAAGAATGGAGTACCATATACTAAAAACGTGGTATACGTCCCATTTTCACACATAACTCTGAATTTTCGAAAATTTCAAAAGTATGATTTTTTTTCTGTGTCCTCCTTGTACAAAATCAAAGATGAGATTTTTATTTTAAATAACATTTGTTGTCCATAATTAGTTATTTTATTACGGTCATTTACATTTTTTAGAACATTTTATTCATTTTCGCGCAATATTGCAAACAATATTTACACGCAAAAAAAACAAACACAAGATTTTCTCAATAACTTCCCCAAATTTCTTTCTTTTCACTTTTGGTAGATATAGTGCTAAATGTCAGATGACATAAACATCAGTTTGCTTTTTCTTTTGTTTTTCAAAAATGTTAATTTTTTGATTTGCCACTCATTTTGTCAATATTTAACAGCGACTTGTTCACATTAATTAATTTATGAGTACATGTGATTTAAATAATGTCATATAAAGTTTCTCGAAAACTCAACCGTTTTCTGTGAAAACTAACTCAAAATTCCGTACTTTCAGAAACGCTCAAACGCCATTTTCTCATAAACGGCTCCAAATTTATTCTTCAAATTTTTCGAACGGTGCTAATTGCACTTTTTAATATGACAAAAAGTTCATTTTGAGTTTTTTCTTTTTTTTAATATTTCATATTCCGTTAATATGCACATTTCCAGCAATTTGTTAACACTATTTGACACATTTGTGAGTTAATGTGCTTCAAATTACATCTAATTAAGTTTTTCGAAAACATTTTTTGTGAAAAAGAGCTTCAACTTTTGTATTTACTAAAGTGCTTAAATGCCATTCTCTTTAAAACGACTCCAAATGTTTCAAAGAAAATTGGCATTTAGGATGATGTTTTATTCTTTAATATTCTTAAAATTATATTACTGTTTTATTAGGAAACCGAAAAATTAAGAAAACACCTTGGGCAGTGATAGAGGGCAGTTGGCAAGAGTATGCGGCAAGTCCAAATAGCTAGCTGAGACAAAGGAAATGGAAAACTAATACTGGAAAGACTGTGCCATTCTGTCACACCACTTGTTCTGTTTATATAGCATATTCATTGTCAGAATAACTGGTATATTTCTGGACAATTTTGTAAGTACATAAACTACTTACCATAATTTAGATGTATATTAATCAGATTGAATTTTCAAACCACAAGAACTACTTTTACCGTAGTTCATTTTTTTGCAAATAAAACTGAATGCTGTCAGCTGATAACTATTATTATAAAATAAGAACAATCCTCACCCCAAACATATTTATTGGATTTTATCTCTATTATTTCTGATACAGCTTTCGCGTTGAAACATAGAATGTAATATTTCATTTTTGTACAGCTGAATCAAATTAACATAAAGAACTCTTATTCTAAAATATTTAAGTTCTAGTCTAAATTTCTACAGTTTTATTATCCTTAATCTTTCAACAGAAAGGAAATTCTACCTTTATGTAATGAATGTGAGACATCGTTGTGCAGCACCAATACTTCTCTTCCCCCCCCCCCCCTTTTTTTTTTTTTGACCCCATATATATGATAACACATGCAAAATTTCCTCCCAATCATTTGTAATACACACACACACGCACAACACTGCTAACAATTGAATATTACAATTTCTTCAAGTGAAAAAATGTCAAGTTTACAAGAACATGAAAAAACAAAACAATGTCTAGGACTTTGATTGAACTGTACACATAAACCTGGAGAAAAACCTTCAAGCTAGGCAAGTACCTTTCAAAACATGTATGGTGCAATTCTGTGTTAATTCTAAAATATTCTATTACTGTGATTTCAAAAAAGTCATGAAAACATATAAGTTGAAAAAATTAGCTGTATGTACTCTTGATTTTATTCAAAAGAGAGGAAAAAAATTCAAATTGCTAGTTTATATTTTAACTGTAGGCCTACTTGCTCTGTTACTGAATAATACCTGAAAATCATCGACATGAAAGATTATTTTAAATAGGAGTTTCTCACAGGACTTGAAATTCTAAACAGAATGTTAATTATTGAATATCTAGTGAAATTCATCTGAATATTCACCTTTACACACTTTTTCTACAAGGAACTGGTTTCAACATAAATTCCTGTCTGTAATCAATTTATTTTGAATCGCAATCAAGTTATTGCTTCTCATCCTTTCCATCAATTAGGGTTCATATGCAACATCTAGAAATCAAACTTTGAAAAGGGAAATTGGCTTCTTTAAGATTTTACCTATCACAGATTTTCAACCATCAAACACTTAAACTTCTTTAAGGTTTCATGTATACTTAAATTCCTAGAAACACTTAAGACTTAATATAGAATATAAAGTCTATTTGAAACAAAAGAATCTATGAATATCAAACTTCATCAATCATTCCTGTTGATTACATTTATGAAGTCACAAATATTTTGTGTGTAATTAAGAGATTAGATGAGAGATAAGTAAAATTTGTAGTGCAGCTGTGAAAAAAATTCATTAGCCTCACAAGAGACACACAGGATTTTTCTTGGGCGGGGAGGGTTCACATTGGGTACAAAATGTATTTTAGTTTTTCGACTTGGTTAATATTTATATTATTAACAACTGATATATTGAACGGCACTCATTAGTACAGAAAATAAGTAAAAGCTATTATTTTTTAATATGTATCATCGTCTTCTGGAGGGAGGATCATCCAATGAATGTGATTAATGATATAAAGACAGTCATGTTATGGTAGCAAGTTTTTTTGGAAAATAACAGACTTGCATCTTTTAATGTTCAGATTATAGGATGATCGAAATAATCTGCATTTGTCCAGTTTTTAAAGAACCAATTATGTTCATTGTTCTGTCCTTCAGAATCATTCAATGTTACAGTCAACTTGCTATAAAATGCGTGACATTTAGTTTATATTTTCTTATGCACTCGATGTACATCAACATAATGTCACAAGTATTATTAAACCATATTCAATCATTAAATAATTACAGATTTTATTTTTATAGAATCTTTTTGTTTCTTGTTATATATTTCTACACACAATATTAAACTATCTGGCAATCGGTGTAATTCCACAAGTTACATTGCCCTTTTGAATTAGAAATGTCATTGACATTTAATCATGTTTCCATAAAAACAAACGGTTATTGTAATTACATCTGCACAGGATTTGAGCCTGTGAAAGATACAATAGCAAAGTTATTCCTACATTTACCTCTCACATTTTAACACAAAAGATCTATAATTATAAGAAACGCTGAAAACTACATCTAAACAACGTTGAGTAAAATTAACAGCATCAAGCAATAAACAATTAAATTCTCAAATGGAGGTTCCAAATAAAATTTGTATACACCCTCAAGTAATTAATTTCGTTCAGCAGAAGTGAATTTATAGCAGTATGTGGAGTTTTAACATGTTTTACAGTCCCAGTGAAAGCAGATAGAAAAGTAATGAAATAGTCTGCATATGCACCTTAAAAAATGCCAAATATTTCAACTATTTTAAAAATATAGAGGTAGCAAAAAAATTCCTGGACAAGCAATAAAACTTCAACTTTCTACAAAAGTAGCCAACCTAACAAACTTTCAGTTTAAAAGTTTAACCTAAAAAATTTTGAGTTTCAAATATCTTCATTGTATCAAATTACAAATGACAAAAACTTAACAATGCAATATGATTAACTCCTCTAAATTTCTAAAATGTTTCACAAAGAGACAAAATGATAAATCAGTTAATTTAATTACTCCCAAAGAAGGATAATGAATTAACACACAAAGCATAAAATCATTGCAGGTATATGTGGTGAAAACATGTCAGCCCATCCTTCAGTTATGACCCAGCAAATAGGTTTGCATTCACAATATCAAATATAAACTCGTAAAACATTATAGAAATTGTTGGAATTATTTTATTCACAAAAGTATTATACATAAAAAGAATCAATGCAAGATTTGTTTCCTCAATATTTCTGAGTAGCAGGAGTGGAAGGGAGGAAAAGCCTACCTTCCCTCCAAAAAACTTGTTCTTAATGAAATACTTTTATTAAAATTGAACAAAAAATTTACACAACTATCAGTCACTGACAATCCTTTCTCATTTGATACAACCAGACGTTATATTGGCATTACTCCTGGACCACTTAAGCTTCCACTACCCATATTCTTTTCATAGGCGAGAAATATGGTTGGATAATTATTTTAAGGCTGAAACCAAAACTTTCTACAGCTATCTACCCTCTAATAAAACAATGATTTTGACAGTACTTGAAAAAAGTTGGCAGATGTTTGATACCTATCAACACAATGCCAGTTCAGAATGGAATAATAATGGAAAATTGCCCAAACCACCTCAAATTAACAAAAGTAAGTCTTCAAGCCACTGAAAGTTTCTTGGAAATAAGGCAAGTTACAATTATTCCCTTTTTGAAATAACTTGGAAGTATGCTTTAAGTCACCTTTTGCCAGCATTTATTATAATTTTAATTTTTGTTTTAAAGGTGGGTTTGTCTGCATACACAATTTTCAACCACTTTTATTCACTCACGAATTGGATCTTCTCTACTTCACATCTTTAATATGTACAAATCTTAGAACAGCAATAAATAACACAGCACTTTAAATGTTTGTATTTACATATGTAGGCACAAAACGAGGCCTTTATATATTCCATTACATACACTAATCATGCTGAACACTTCTTTGCTGTGAACTGCATCCAGGCATACTGTTGTCACAACTATTCCCTTGAGAAGCATTTGTTTTCTGAAATGCACCAAAACATGGCTCAAGTTTCCTCTCGAGAAATACGGCAACATTTAGGGATGGATGAACTTCCTTGTCATACCTTCAATTCTTCAGCAGCCTTTGCTTCTGCTATGCGTTGCCTTGCCCACGTAAACTGCTCCATTAACTCATGGTGGGCTTCAAGGCGTTCTATGCAAGTTAAACACACAGTTTTTGGAAGAGGATCATTAGCACTTATCTGAAAAAATGAAAATTACTGTAGGTGATCATACAAACAACACATGATTAGTAGAAAACATAAATCACAAAATATTTTCACGAAGAAGTCATTGTCAAACAAACCGTAATGGGTAAATAAGCATTTATCTTCTCAGCCAATTTCATTCTTGCGCCCTCTTCACCAAAAATATGAATTACAAACCTGTTCATTTTCGAACATAGCCGACAGATGAATCCTGTAATGACGGCTTTATCTGTACTCCCCATTTTACTGTTCTTAATTTCGGACTACAAATATAAAATATACTGGTAAACGCTTCTAATTACAATATTCTGGAAACCAAGGAAGACTACTTTTTATACACTGCAAGATATTCTCACCGTTTATGTCGTACAGAATATTTTAAGGTTAACGTTCAGTCTGCCAAAGTCAGTAGTCTTTATTCCTTTGTTTAAATCCCCTGACGTAGTCTTGTAGGTCTTTAGTTCACTTCTAACCACTTACAAATGAACATGTAACCAAAACAGATCACAAACATACTGCCTTCCTTATCTTCCCTCACACGCGATCCACTAATTTACAAATGTGTGCCAATAATTCTTGCACTGCTATTGCTGTCCCAGCAAGTTACACAGGGACTCATTTCTATCTCGCTTATCCCCTTCACAAGTAGACCAAAGAGTATATAAAATAAAACACAGCTCCCGCAATTCGGCGGAGCCTCAGCCCCGGCCCGAGCCTAGGTCCTAGGACTCCTGAGCAGGGACGGTCCTGGCTACCGTTTGGCACCACTGGACACAAAGCCAGGGCCCGGCAACTCTCCATCAAAATCGGGGACAAAGCTTGAGGTTGCTACTATAGGAAGCGCTAGTGTCACCGGGTGCAGATGCAGGTTAGGCTCGCCAACTTTCCCACATACAAATTGGCAAATTTGTGACAAATACGAAAAGTGTCTTCTAAATAATTATTCATAATCTCTACTTGTAAGAAAGCGCGAATGTAGACGTTATATTTTGTAACATTATGGACCTGCTTGCGACCCGCGAACTCACGCAGCAGTCACGCACGTTTAAAGTATCGTTGGCAGCAGTTCCTTTTTTAGTTCCTGTAAAGAAGGTGGTGCAGCAGAGCGCGCTACAGTAATGGTCTCCACCACGTTATATGGGAGTTATAGGGCCCTGCACAAAGCACTCTAGGGGTTTTGTTCCGCGCACTTTAGCGTCAGGTTCATCTGTTTTTGTAGTATTTTTAGTTTGTGGTCAAGATTTATTCCCCTTGCTAACACCTTATTCACAGCTATGGAATAGTTTTATTCGCGGTATTTTTGGTATGTCGTTTACGTAAAGCGAGAACAACAGCGGAGAAAGGACGACCCTGAGGGACCCCGGCAGCAATTCGCCGGTTTGAGGATCTCGCCTTACCCACATTTACCAAGAAAGTGCGATTTGTGAGGAATATAGTAATTATTTTGGTTATGTCTTGTGGGAGCAGCGCCGGAGTTTCGAAATTAGTGCGTTGTGTGGCACTTTGTCGAAGGCTTGTACCATATCGAGGTAGATTACCGGTACATCTTGTGTGAGAAGCAGATCAGCGGATACTGCTGGGCCATGCAAAGTGCTTGTAGCGATGCGAGTGGCCCGGTCTGAAGGCAAATTGTCTCGTTCGAATGAGGTTTCGATTGAGAACTGTTGGAAGGATTCGTGCGAGTAGGAGCCTTTCGAAAACTTTTCCCAAACCGGGAGAAGGCTGATTGGCCTATGACTCGCCGCAATCGTGAGATCCTTGACGGTTTCGGGAGCAAAAATACTTGCGTATTTACAGTTTTCCGGAAAATACCGCTGTGTAATGCAGCTATTGTAGATTCGCGTGAGCTCCGTCTTATGACCGGTAAGGCCTCCTTTAGAACGGGAGGCCCTATTCGGTCGGGGCCCGGCGCTTTGCGGCTACGCAAGCATTTGATTGTAGTCGAAACTCTTCGACTGTACATTGTTAGTGTATTGGCACTGTTCTCTGTTTTCCTCCTCTTCTTCTGCCTGTGTGTTGTTGTTTGTGAACCTCTCTTCAAGCATGTCAGCGAAGAATTCAGCCTTAGCTTGATCTGAGAATAGGTATGTTGGTTTACCCTCCGCGTTGTCGTGGCCGCGTATGGCTGTTGCAGCTTTTGGTACCGATCTGAGCGCTTTTTGGAGTTTGAAAAGACCGCTACGGAGTGATCAGAACCGATCTCTCTCATGCGTTTTTCCCATTCCTCTGCGCGGTGGTTTGCGAGCGCCATTTTAGGCGTTTTTCGCATTCCCGCAGGTTTTCTAAGCGCGGACATCTAAACTGCTGCCAGAGCCGTCTCGCCTTACGTTTTTCGCGTAAGAGTTTTTCGACTTCTGCGGGGAGTGTGTTTGATCCCTCTTCGGGCGGGCGCCAGAAAACCGGCGTCGCCTTTCTGAGGGCTGTTTGTAAGTGTTTTGTGAGTGTTTGTATGTTTTCGTCTATGGAGTCAGTAGAGTTCATTGTTTGTGTTTGAGAATGATAGTGAGGCGAGGTGAGTGCGGAACTCATCCCAGTCAGTGGGTTGTGGGACCCACTGCTCGGCCGCAGAAAGAGCGAATGCTTCCAACTACGAAGTTATGGAATGTGGTCAGAGAGAAGAGAGAGAAGGAATGGGTTTGGGTGTTGTGACACGAATGTTCCTGATGTGAGTGCCACATCGAGGATTTCGGGTCTGAGGCGAGGGTCGTTGGGAAACGCGTGGGCGTGGAGGGCGGATGAGTGTCACGGTGCTGTGTGAGA